TGCTAACCAAAAGGTCGGCAGTTCAAATCCACCAGGCGCTCCTTGGAAACTCTATGGGGCAGTTCTACTCTGTCCTATAGGGTCGCTATGAGTCGGAGTCGACTCAACAGCATGGTTTACTTTATCGAGCATGATGTCCTTCTCCAGGGACTGGTCCCTCCAGATAGCATGTCCAACCAAAGTACTTGAGACAAAGTCTCACCATCCTTGCTTCTAAGGAGTATTCTGGCTGTACTTCTTCCAAGACAGATATGTTCATTCTTCATGGTGTATTCAATATTTTTTGCCAACACCGTAATTCAAATGCATCAATTCTTCTTTAGTCTTCTTTATGCATTGTTCTTCTACTTACCTTAAGTTTGTAGAAGTTTTACATCATCATCATCATCACACAATAATATTTATTAAGCACCCACATGCTTGGTGTGTTGTGCTAAACCTTGCTTAAATCAAGAAGACCTATTTGTAATAAACTATTTACCTCAACAACTATTTGAGGTCCATCCTGATTCCAGCCCCAGTTAATAGTTACTACTGAATCATTATATGAAAAGAATTAAATGAACTCGGTAAAGATAAAACCCACATAGTTTTATCAAGGTGACATTTATATCCAGCACCTTTCCCTGCTCTCCTCATAGCCCTCCCTTGCTAGGGATAGGTAAACCAACCAGTTTCCATCCAGTCAATTCTGACTCATAGTGACCTCATGTGTGTTAGAGTAGAACTGTGCTCTATAGGGTTTTCAATGGTTGTGATTTTTTTCACAAGTAAATTGCTAGGCCTTTCTTCTGAGGTGCCTCCGGGTGGACCTGAACCTCCAATCTTTGGGTTAGCAGCTGAGCACGTTAACCGTTTGCACCATGAAGGGAACCTTGGCTGTTAAATGGAAGATTGGAAGTTTGAGTCCACTCAGAGGTGCCTCGGAAGAAAGACCTGGTGATCTACTTCCAAAAAATGAGTCATCAAAAATACTATCAAGCACAGTTCTACTCTAACACATGGGGTGGTCAGGTGTTAGAGTCAACTCCAGACCAACTAGTAGGGATACTTGGGGCATGAATATTTGGGAGTGTGTGAGAAACAGGCCTTCCCAAGGCGCCTCATATTGTATCATCTTTATCAAGTTCATTTAATTCTTTTCATGTAATAATTCAGTAGTGACTATTAACTGGGGCTGGAATCAGGATGGACCTTAAGCAGTTATTGAGGTAAATATTTTATTACAAATAGGTCTTCTTGAGTTAAGCAGGGTTTAGCACAACACACCAAGCATGTGGGTGCTTAATAAATATTACTGTATGATGATGATGTAAAACTTCTAGTCTTAAGGTAAGGATTGCTGACTTACTCACATACATCCTTAGTTTACATTCTTATGACACAGTTAATTATTCTGACAATTTGCTTAATCAACTGTTGGATATGGGATAAACAAATATGTAGCATATAATTAACAGCAAATAATTATTTCCATTATTATTCAATGATGTCCACCAATAATTTATACAACGAAGTGTCTACTTCTAAGAAATGCAGTACATTATTTTATATGTCCTGTATCTCATTTTATTAAATAAAAATCTTTCCCATGGAAAAAATTATATATTGGTACTAACACACACCCAGAAGTCCATTACTTAATGTAAACAATAATTTTCTAGGTAGAGAAAAAAAATTGTGCATCTCTCTGTAGATTAGGGCACATTTCCCAATTATTTCTTGCAATTTTCCTTCCAAGGGTGTGAAATATCCAACAAAGAAATGATGAAATCTATTGAATGGAAAACTTTTCTGGGTAAGAACTCACTTATATTTCCCCCTTCCTCCCATTCTATAACTTTGGTACTTCTAAATAGAGCCTGGAACTTGCCTTTATATCATCCTATAGAATTCATATATTTTTCTTGTATTTGTGCTATTAAGTCTACAAGAGGCCTACTTTTTTTTTTTTTAACTTTTAAAAATATTCAATTTTGGAGACTCTTCCCTCCTAGATTTCAAACAACTAGAGGGCAAGATTGTTTGATTCATTCAAGTACATTTCTCAGTAACTAGTTCAGTGTCTTGCTCATAAATATTGGTTTAGTAAAGGAAGCAACACAACTTTTTCTTTCTGCAACTTTATACATTTAAAATAACTTAAAAAGTGTTTAAATAAACATAGAAACATCTGCCCTCCAAAATTTTACTTTCGACCTTCATTATTTATGATCACTAATAAGAATCACCAGGAACAACTCCCCAGCAAGACAGTGAAATAGCAAAGAGCAATAAAACAAAGAAGAAAAAGAAAGGAACAGCCTTTTTAAATATTTGAATCATTTAAGACCAAACCAAAAAAAAAAAAAAAAACCCACTGCCATCGAACAAAGAATGAACAAATCTGTCTTGGAAAAAAAAAAAAAAAAAAGAGAGAGAGGAACTGGTATTTTTGGAGTAAAAACAATTATGTGTTTTCGGATGCAGATATTTAACTTTATGTTATAAAAAATATTACTTTTATAATAGATCAAACCAAAACCCATTGCTGTCCAGTCGATTCTGACTTTTAGCGACCCTATAGGACAGAGTAAAACGGCCCCATAAGGTTTCCAAGAAGTGGCAGGTGGATTTGAACCGCCAACCTTTTGGTTAGCAGCCTGAGCTCTTAACCACTGCGCCACCAGGGCTCAAAAAAAAAAAAAAAAAAAACCATTATCATCGAGTCGATTCCAACCCATAGCAACCCTATAGGACAGAGTAGAACTGCCACATAGGGTATCAGAGACTGTAAATCTTTACAGAAGCAGACTGCCACATCTTCCTCCTGAGGAACAGCTGGTAGGTTCAAACCTCCTACCTTATGGTTAGCAGCCAAGCGCTTAACCACTGCACCACCAGATCGCCTTCCTTCCAACCGCTGTTGTTATTTTTAGGTGCCATCGAGTTGGTTCCAACTCATAGTGACCCTATCTATGTACAACAGAACAAAACATCAGCTAGTCCTGCACCGTCCTCACGATCTTTTCTAGGTTTGAGCCCATTGTTGCAGCCACTGTGTCAATCCATTTCGTTGAGGGTCTTCCTCTTTTTCGCTGACCTGCTACTTTACCAATCATGATGTCCTTCTCCAGGGACTGGTCCCTCCTGATAACGTGTCCAAAGTACGCAAGACAAAGTCTCACCATAGTCACTTCTAAGAAGCATCCTGGCTGTACTTCTACCAAGACAGATTTGTTCGTTCTTCTGGGAGTCCATGGTATATTCAGTACTCTTAGCCAACACTGTAATTCAAAGGGAT